GTTGCTTACTTTGGGATCAGAGCAACGAATGTGGTGTTGTCTAATATTTATTTATGAAATTAGGAAGTTTCTATGACTACCAGAACAACCAAATCAGTGCTCCGGGTTCATAATTCCGAACATCGGAAACAAAAATATTATTTCCTAAACTGGTTCTTCTACCTGTAGTGCTAACGAATGGGCTATAGAGGTCACCATATTACGATTAGGAACTAGTATAACTGTAACAATTTTTAGTCATTACTAGGAATCTTTTTAGGTAGAGTACGACAACATCTGAACAATAATCAACTTTCACCCACTTGATATGCAGCACTGAATTACATTTGTGTTATATAAAGTTTGCCTTTTCTTTAGCGTATTATGTCAGATGTGATAATAATAAGTTGCGAAGTTGGATACGGAAAGATTATTTATTTACAATTTGTTAGTAATAGTAAGGTGCAATAAGATAGGGATGTCACAAGAACTATTTGAGCTATTATAGCTAATAACAAAAGAAGTTCGAATTTCTATGTTAGCATGTATTTATTTATGAATATTTAGTAATACTACCTCAAGGTAATTTTATTAATTGAATGTAGCAATAGGCTCTTTGTGAAATAGTTCGTCCTCAGACATACTGCACCTTACTTGTTTCTGCAGCCCAGCCCAGTGTGAGAATTACTGAGTTCCAATTTTGAAGTGTAAGGGTGCTGGTGAAATTACAGGAACATGGGACTTTTCAACGTGTCTCAGAGTAACGGGCGCAGTGGCAGTGCCTCTCAGATCTTTGAGGTTTAAAGCTCTGAGTGGCACTGCAACTGTTAAGGACAGGCGTGTCGATTGTCATCCGGCGCACGACTTGTTCGTCACTTACAATTACACACTGAACATTACTGTCAAGAACAGCCAGTTTATTTTTATTCCTCGTACCTATTAATGTTATGTCTGTTACTATTTCTCATTAAAAATACTAGTCTTCTGTCAAGAAGATAATTTAAGTCATTAAATTACATTTCAAATCACAGAGTTTGTCCAGGGTAGTGCTGCTTACCTATTTCCGCCAAGCAGTATATATATGTCATATACTATGATATGGTCAGCATTACTGTTTTGAAGGGTAAGTAAGGACTTGTCTACTTATGTCTCAGGGTGATGGGCGCAGTGGCAGTGCCCCTTCGATCTTTGCGAATTAAAGCTCTGGGTAGCTCTGCAACCTCTATGGACAAGAGTGTTGCTTGTTCATCCAGTTGCTTAGTATCAGAAAAAAAAAGAATGAAATCATCTACTTGTCCAAGAGGGTTCCACAGCTCCAACAACCTGGGGGGCTACTCTCGATCTCCGTCTGACATCCGTCCGAAACAATTACTGTCAAATAAGTAATATTCGACCAAATTAAAACACAAGTATCCAGTATGAAGCTTCATTAGCATCACGCGTCTTTTCATTTGGTCAAGTATTGCTTATTTGGCAGTAATTGTTTCGGACGGATGTCGGACGGAGATCGAATGGGCCAGTGTGGTCTGGACTCTTCTTACTCCAGACTAGTGTCCTGCGGTGGGATGTATAATGGATTGTTTTGATATCACGTTTAGTTCAAGACTGTGTCAAAAAATAGTTAAGACGATACTACTTTTATTACTACGGATCTAAATCACATACATTTCATAAATAGATTCGATTTTAATTTTGATGAAAAAATAGTTTCATTTTGAATGCGTAATAATCGCTTTTCGACTTTTAGCAGCGGTGCAAACACGATGCAGTCGCTTATCGTCTACCTTTACACACACGCGCCACTTTAACCAGCGATGCAAACGCGATACAATTGCGCGATTGTAATAGTAGCAATAATAACGCACACACTCAACACCACAAATACACCCAAACTCAGAAGAGAAATAAAATCTGGCCTGGGAACCTGGGACCTCTGCGTGGCAGTCCGACATGGTAACCGTTCGGCCACGGAGGCAGTAATTGTATCGATGCAATCGGGCGTTTAACGAACGCGCGTTTGCATCGCTGCTAAAAGTCACCGTGTGTGACTTGCAACGATTTTCGATTACTACCTAATACCAACAAGGCAAAAAATATAGAGATTGATACGCGATCACCACAGTATACATTAGAGCAGGAAATAAGGTAACTAGTAACAAAAAGAACCATAAAGCCCTATACATTCTCGCACTAGGAAATAAAAAGCTCACCAGACCACTTTATTGTTACGCAAAAAAAAATGTTCGTAGCCCTGATAAAACGGGAGCTACTACAATATAGCAAGTAAGTACCATACATTCAAGTATATTGAAAACGTATTATGTTATACCTGCAAAGGGGTATTAAAATTTAAGTACTATTAATAGTATTGTATTGTTCATTTCAGGAAAATGTGTATAAACATGAAATCTTTGAACGTATAAGTTATTCCATATTTTGGTCAAGAGTGCAAGAGTTCTTTGTATAAACTGTTAAAAAGCCTGATAGCTTAGTGGGAGAATGGTTTCTTCTCATGGCGGCATGTGCCCTCAAAGCCACAGTCACAAATTAGGTAATGTTTAATAACAATACCTGTCGCTTTTTTACGACTTTTTTTATAGTATCAAGTGACGGGACGAACAGGTCGTCCGCCTGCCCTCTACTGCCACTGCGCCTGCCACCCTGAGTCATAAGTTGACAAGTCCCATGTGCCTGTAATTTCACCAGGATTCTTACCCTTCAAAATCAGAACACAGTAATGCTCATATTAGTGTTTGGCGGTAGAAATAGGTAAAGTGGTAGTACTGCCCTGGACGAACTCTTTCACAAGGAGCTCTTCTGCTACTAAGCTGTTCGTAAATCTTGGAAAACGCGTTCAGTTTCCAATCCACTTTGGGTCAGGCTGATATACTTTGGCTTAAATCCTCACTTTAGAAGTGGGCACAGGTCACTTTAGAAGTGGGTTGTGAAACGGGTTGATGATGAAATAGAACAGCTAATTTTTTATTTATTTTTGTGATTTGGAATATGTGCTAGGTTGGAAATATTATATGTTTTGACGACTTCTGTGGTCGAGTGGCTTGCACACCGGTTTTCATGTTGTCGCCATATCTTAGGTCTCGGGCTAGATTCGTGACCAGGTCGATGTAGAAAACTAACTTTTTTATAACATTGTCTCGGGTATGGGGACTTGTGGTACAGTCATTGTTTCCGATTTAAATAACACAAGTGCTTTAGTTACTTACTTTGGGATCAGTGTGTGATGTTGTCTAATACTTATTTATATTTATTTGTTTATTTATTTATTTTTTGCACAATTCAATAATGTTCAATTGGCGGATTTAATGCCAAAAGGTTTTCTCTACTAGTCAACCATTGAGCCAAACAAAAACAACAAAAAGTATGTTACAAGTTCTATTCTTGGAGAACTATGTGCTCCTTATTCAATCGAGTACCATAACAAGTTGTAGTACATAGTGCGAGCGAGGAGTTGCAGTTTTGATTTGTCTGGAGTAATTCCGCGGAAGCGGTGAGCTAGTGCGTCCATTGTGGCGCGGCGGGTGGTAAGGCGAAGTGCTCGCCGCGCCCTTATTCCCTTTGTTCTCCGAATCACATACAATATGTACGAAGCCAGCTCACAGCGGTTCGCGGATAATGCGCCGCGAAACGGCCACTGCTCTCCACAAAAACACCAATCTTGTACATATAAGAGCAACAACTTACATGAGATTAGATTCGTGATTCGCTACTTTTTGGCCGCAGACAACTGTTCTGAATAATGAATTCCAACTGACGAGCCTTCTTTTCTCGCTGATGCGGTGTTGCATGAATATGCAGACGCGTTGTTGAATAAATCTGTTTTTTTGTTTACCATTGTGTTATTGTGCAATTCATTTTATATTCATTATTGTTTATTTTACTTCTTTTGCAATCAAATGCGCAGAAGTCTTTGTTAGTAACCTATATTACTTTATATAATATCGTCGGCTAAATTCCTAAACCTTGTAACCACCATTGATGTGAATTTTTGAGTACGCACAAAAAACTGAATTATTAGAAATAATTATATGACAATCTATGATTATACCTTTACTTTGTATCTAAAAAAGGGCCTACAAAAATATTTTAAGCTTTTATTGCCCGATATTACTCTTGAAGAGCAAAAATGGGATTTCATATAGAAACGGAATTATGTATAGTTTACAAATTAAGCCGACGATATGATTTTTCAATACATATAATAGAATGTCATAAAAAAATGTACCTGTTGTTTTTATAACTTTTTTTATAAATACCAAGTGAAGGGTCGAACAAGGCGTGCACCTGGTGGTAATCTACAAGCCTGTCCATAACGTTATAGTGCCACTAAGAACTTTAAATCACAAATATCTGAGGAGCACTGCCACTGCGCTTGTCACCCTGAGACATAAGTTGACAAGTGCAGTAATTTCACCAGTACCCTTACCATTCAAATCCGGAACGCAGTAACGCTCATATTACTGGTTGGCAGTAGAAATAGGTAAGGTGGCAGTACTTCCCTGGCCGAGCTCTTTCAAAAATAAGAAATAAACATTAATAATAAATATAAATAAATGAATACTAGACAACACATCCGTTGCTCTGATTCCAAACTAGAGAAACAAGATAACAACACAAACAAAAGTAACTAAGGTACTTGTGTTATGGAAATGGCATACAACCACGGTACATGAACACCCAGACCGGAGACAATAATATACAAAAGTTAGTTTTTCTACATTGACCCGACCGGCAATCGAACCCGTGACGATACCATGAAAAGCCGTGTGCAAGCCTCCCGACCACGAAAGTCGTCGTGGTGATCACAACTTGAAAATAAAAAGATATCTCTGCACTTCTTCTTCAGATGGCGCTACGGCAAAAAGGTCGTTAAAAACCAAAAAGAAATATCTGCAACAAGCACATACATAGTTCATCCCGCCACTTAGTTGTTATAAAAAAAATGTTATTGATGCGCAAAACTATTTCCTTAGGTACATGAAGATTATCAATAAAGTACTCACCAGGTACATGATCATTATTGAAGGTAACGCGTACGGAGTGCGGACGTAGAACGCGCGGTGTGAACGCGGCTAAGTAGCGATGGTTGCCCAACGTTCGCACTGAGCTCGCCACCAAGGCACCATTCCCTCCTGACACTTCTAGCTCTAAGTGTCCTGGACCTGCTGTGCTGCAGTCCACTATAAAAAGAGCAATTATAAAAAATCTAAAATAATGACGGTTTATCTCCTCGTTCCAAGAAAAAAAAATATTCAAAAGGTATAAACTCAAAGTCATAGAATCAGTTTATTCCATAGGTAAAACAAATTTACACTTGAAAAGTTGAAAACATCACTTTTAAGCGCTTGTTCACTATACTGACTTCCCTGACAAGAATGAACAAGAAACTCTAGGGATTGCACTTTTCAAATAAACTTAAATAGGTACTACTTTGAATCAAATTTGTGTGGAAAGACGGCATGGGTCTAGACCCATACATCTTAATTTAACAAGTAGTCTTCAATTATATGATTTTTCAATTAAAATATTAATGTAACTTTTAAATTTAGGAAATGGTAATCGTAACATATTGCTCCGGAATCTTATTGTAAAAATGTGTACAGTTCCCAATAAAACTCGTTTACCTTGGTTAAACGAAATTGTGGTACCATGAGTTTGAACTTAGCTCTAAGGTTAATATTATGGATATATTCTTTCGTAGTGAAAATTTGTATTTTTTTAAATCATTACCGGTCTTGAACATATATTTGAGATATTTCTAGTAACATGTTACTGGAAATACGTGATGCGGGAATGTCGTACTTATTTAGATGTTAGTTGACAACTTTAATAAGAACAACGTTTGTGGGAATGCTTGACTTCTACATGATGAGTAATTGTTTTTTTTCCAGATAACCACACTAATTGCCTCGTTTCAAATTAGCCCTGTATTATGAGTAGGTATCTGAGTTACGGCATTCATTCCGAAGCACTGCCCAGAAAAGTCAGGCAGTTCAGAAAAATTAATTTCCAAAATTGATACAACCGGGAATCGCAACCAGGGCCTCGTCTTCCAGTGCCAACAATCTAAACAGTCTAAATCTAAAACAACTTTTACAAAAGACTGTTATACGAGTAAAATCATAAATTAGAGTATTGTTGGAGATAGTCTGCAAATTACATTAATTATTTAGTATCGCAGACGATGCATACGCTTCGTGTTGATTTGAAACTCCACAAACCACAGAAAATATAATTAAATTGTGTATTTTTATTGCAAATGTTAATAAAGTCTTGGTCCAAGTAGGACACTTATGTAGAGGTCGCGTATCGGTCTACATTTTCTGTGTTCGTTCTCTGCGGTCATTAATGTTGTCTTATCTTTGATTCTAAACTTAAAGCTAATGAAACTATTTTTTTCTGCAGATCTAAATCGCGTCAATTTGTTTTTTTTTTTTACACAAACAACTAAACATAAACAATTAAACATAAAGACATAACTGGTTGATTACTTTACATCTCAGTCAGCCGTGACCTGTAAAGAACTAGAAACCTTAATTTGTTTGAAAAAACAAAAATTTACGCGATTTAAATCCGAAAAATAAATATATTCATCTCCAAAGCAATTGTGAAAACCTAAGAACTCGATATTAATAATCTCATTACAGAGTATTAAAAAAACCGACTTCAAAAGTTTGTGGAATCACATCAATTTGCCATTTATTGAAATCGATTACCGGAAAGTGCGCGATGAATCCGGTTTGGGTTCATTCCTTAGTTTGCCACCATTAGAAGTGGTATATTTTTTTGAAATTTGAATGAAATCAATATTGAGGTACCATATTTCCAACAAAAAAAGAATAACCAAAATCAGCTCCCAAATAGAGTTATCGCTTAACATACATACAACATAAAAAAATACAATCGAATTGAGTTGGTTAGAAATAATGTTCATTTGGCCTATAATTTTTGCGCACTCACCAAGCACCTAAGTGAAAGCGAAAAGGAAGGAATGATGATGAAGATCAAATAAAAACAGAAACGGAAATTAAATTAAATTCTTTTCCATTTTATAAGCTTTTTATGTAATACAATTTGCAAATGTAGTACAGAAAAAGCGCCGAAAGAAAGCAATAGGCTCTTAGGTGCGAAAAAGCCTATCCCAGGGAAAGCCTGTTAAGAGCAGTGTTACCTTAAGTATGTAATCGTCAACCCGTCTGCCATGCGTGGTGTTCACGGTTTACCTTTCTTTATTGCTCAGTCTATACATATATAGAAATAGACGCACAGTCTAAATAGGCGCCCAAACGTTCCGTTGCGGACACTCACACCATATAGATATAGACTATTTTGAGTGCTTTTTTGTTTTTAATTTACATTAATGATCTTCCTCATTTTGTAAACGACTTCTAAGAGATTGTGCTATTTGCTGATGTTATTTCCCTGATATTTCATATTGATAGAAATAAAAGTAATTATGACGACGTAATATTGCTCACTCTAAAGTTCAAAATTGGTTTACTGTAAACAATCTTAAACTCAATTGAAACGAAACAAAATGTGTTATGTTTACGCTACTTAATGTAAAAAATGTAGCAACTGACATTAAACACAATAATGAACAATAGGATTTGGAGGACACCACTGTCTTTTTGGGAATAAAGTTAGACTCAAAACTTCAGTAATGAATCCACATATTTCGACACTACACTAGTTAGAAAGCTTAGTTGCAGAACTAAGCTTTCTAATTAGTGTCGTAAGTAAGTTGTGTAAGTTGTCTGACTTTTCGTATGGCATAAGCAGCAGTGCTTATGCCGTACGAAAAGTCAGACAAATTACTGACGTCGAGCCAGCCACGTATGAAGCTTCATTCGCATCACGCGTCTTTTCATTTGGTCAAGTATTGCTTATTTGACAGTAATTGTTTCGGACGGATGTCGGACGGAGATCGAGAGTAGACCCCCAAAACCATTTTCTTCAGTTGCTTTCACAGTATAATGTCGTACGGTATTAGATTGTGGGGCGCCGCTTCAAATATCGAAACAATTTTTATTTTACAGAAGCGTGCGGTTACAACGATCTATAAATTAAATTCACGTACATGTCATGTACCTTACTTAGGGAGATATTTTAAGGAAATTGGCATATTAACTACTACACTGTACCACAGTTTACTTACAACTGTATACTTTTTGTGCGTCTGAGTAATGAATTGTATAATAAATGCAATAATTTTAATACCAGACGTAAATGGAAGTTCGTGTTACTGAAGCTAACTTCAGAGGGTTCTCGGTTCTTTTGTGGGGCAAGGTATTCATTATTATAGATTCCAAAAGCTGTTTTGGACTTTTGCACTTATCCTTTGATAAGTTCAAAAGTCATGTAAAGGCAACTCTAATAAAGAGAGGATATTACTTTGTTAGGGATTGCATAAACGATAAAACAGTATGGTTTTAAAAATTTGTAAATATGACGACTTTAAATGCAATTTGCTTACCAAGGAAATAAAGATAATTTTGATTTAGATTTTACTGTACAAGTTTAAATACCTTTAGTAACAGTAGAGCGCCTAGAGCGTTCATCCAGGGAAGTATTGCCACCTTACTTATTTCTGCCGCCAACGCGAACGTCGTTAACGCGACTACTACTGCTTTCTGATTTTCAAGGGTAAGGGTGCTGGTGGAATTTTAGGCACATAGGACGTGTCAAGTTATATCCGAGAGTGACGGGCATAACGGAAGTGCCCATCAGATCTTTGCGACTTAAAGCTCTGAGTGGCACTGCCACTATCATGGATAGACGTGTCGCTAACCACCAAGTGCAAGACTTGTTCGCAACGTCACTTGGTACCATAAAAAATACATATAAACAAAATAAAAATTCTTACCAATAAATTCGACAGGTTTCTCCAATACTCCTTTGGTTGTTGATTTTACTATTACTGCTTTAGCACCTTTGTTATCCCTTTCAATTGGTCTGCAACAGAAGACTTAATTGCTCTTTCTACATTTCAACAAAACCACATATTACTTAATAGTTCCTGGCAAAACCAATTACTGAAGTACTTTACGAAAACATATATTTTTGTTTATTTTTCAGTCGCAAGTTATTGTACTACTCTTCAAAGTGAAATGCGGTGATAACAAATAAGAAAGGAATAGTATTAACGTTAGTGTTCGAACAATATCGATTCTGAATTTATAGCGTCATGAAAATGTCCATTTCGCTCAACAGCTGTGTATTTCGTGCTATAAGAGACTAGTTACTCCATTCTTCTCATGTTTCAATTCGCTTTAGTACACTTTAAAATCTTTAGATGTATTATTTGTTCACAAAGCGAGATGTTCATGTACTCTATATGTGCACGGATGTTGTTTAAAGCCCAAAACCATTATCTACTTGTGATTGATTAATATTAAATACGCTATTTGTACCATATCGGCAGAATGTATAGAAGCAAAGTACATGAATGTTGTACCACACCATTTGAAATTTAAAAAGTAAAGTGACTTTATTTCTTCCAAGAGTTTCTTCCAGTTATCCTTTGAATAATACAGAGTATAGGTTAATAAATCTTGAAATATTTATCAATACCTTTTTTCGCCAGTAAAAGTAAACAAAACTTACAAGTCATTCCCTAAAAATTAATATTTTTTGGTGAAATTAGTACTCTAACCAGGGTCACAATATATTTTGCTCATTGTTGTTGTTTGTTGTTAGTGTTATTTCCTCGAATATCCGGAGTATTAGTGTGTTTTATCTACATAATACTACAAATACGCGCCGGGTTTGCTTCGCTGTTTCGAGTGACTGATGCTAATAGTGGTCGGTGCGTTTTGTTGATAACAATTGTTATACTCGCTGGTTGTGCTTTAGTGGAAACAGTAACTATACGTGCTAATTTAATGCCAAAGGATTGATATAATTTTTTTAATAACCTCAAAGTAAAACAAACGCTAGTGACATCCAGTGTAGACCGTGTGAACCATCTATTGATTATTAATTTCATCTGCATCAATCTATTGTAACTCCTGCTTATGTTCTGGCCCACTGCGAGCTTCTACTAGTGAGCAATAGAGAGTGCTAGTGGCAGCAAAAGTAGTAGTTCTAAGGTATTAATCTATCAATGGAATAAATTTATATTTCAAAAAAATGGCATGTAAAAACCTCTCCTGTGCTGCCTGTTTGGAGGTCATTAAGTGAAAAGTCATTTGAAATGCTGCAAATGTCATAAAGCGTATGACCTCGTATGCGTTGGTCTTGATGAAAACCGTTTCCACAGCAACTACAGTCTATCAACTGCTGCTGGCAAGGAGTGCAGGGCTAACTGGGAATGTCCTAATTGTGTGAGTAAGAAGCGGATGAGTGGCGACCAAGACAGGCCTGTACGTTCATATGATACAATACTGATTTCCCTCCGTCTCCCATAGTTTCGGAAAGTACGCCCTCAGACCATGTCACGCTGCGCACCAAACAGAAAGCAGACCTCGATGTTGCTACATTGATAAGAACCTTTATTTTAAGAAGCTTTAATCTCAGCTGCTAAACGTTCTAAATTTTCCCCTATTAAAAGTCAATTGAATGATCTACAAAAAACAGTGGAACTCATTACTCAACAATACGATGACCATCAAATCTGATACAACACACCTCAGCACAAGGGTAGCAACACTTACTGAGCACATAAATAATCGGGAACAGCATTTGCGTGAGACCACTCTTGAAATTCAAGGAGTCCCCCAGCGTAAAGATGAAAATATTGTTGAGATTATCAAGAAAGTGGCTGACGTCGTATCATTCAAGCTTGAAGATAGAGACATTAAATTGCACAGGAGTGGCCAGCATGAACAAGGATAGTAAGAGACCGCGAACCATTGTAGTCAAACTATGTAGTACTCGTCGACGTGACGAGTTTTACTCTGCTGTGGTGCGCTACAACAAAGCTCACTCCAACAGTAAGCTTAATTCTTCACCATTAGGCTTCGGAGACGATCCTTCCATAATTTATGTTTCAGAGCATTTGTCGTGGGCGAACAAAACCCTACACTACGTCGCTCGAATCAAAGCTAAAGAACTATCATATAAATTTTTATGGGTCCGCAATGGCCGTATTTTCATTGGGAAGGACGAAGTATCAAGATTTATACATGTTAAGAACCAACAGACCTTGGATAGTTTAATTTAATAATATACTTTTTTAATATACATTTGGCTATTACTGTATGTTCTTTGGAACATTTTTGTAATTATGGATAGATTATCGATATTTTACCAAAACATAAGAGGTTTAAAAACAAAGGCTACCATTGTACTTAATTCAATATTAACTAGTAATTTTGAAGTAGTCTGTTTCACTGAAACGTGTCTTGACGATTCGGTGTCCACTAATGAATTGTTTGATAATCATTATACTGTGTATCGCACAGATCGATCGTATGAGTTTAAAAGTAAATACAATAAGTCACATGGGGGTGGGGTTTTAATTGCTATGAATAAGATTTTTTTAAGTACTGAAAAAGCTCAATGGAGGACTTCCGTCGAGGATGTCTGGGTTGCTACGCTTCCATAACGTCACTTTGAATATATGTACTGTTTATTTGCCTTCGTTTTAATGTATATGTACAGCCCTTTTTAATGTATATTTCTTATTCAAATATTGTGCATAGTTGTAAATGGAATACAAATGTGTCTACCTGTTACAGTTAAGTTTTTAGTTCGTGCTATGTAGCTGTGCCAAATAAATAAAATAAACCATAATAAAATAAAAATACTGGATTTACTGGGTTGTAAGTTTCATATTAGTAGAAGATCTTGGGACACATATAGATTGATGGTGACATAGAGAACTTACCTGAATCTTGGATGCACGGCATCGATCTCAGACCATGCCCCCCCGTTCGGGTCGCGGGGGGGGCCTATTGGATAAAAAAGACTGCTGTTGTTGGTGCTTTTCCTCTACACTGCTGTACGAGGAGTCTCGTACTACGTACGAACTTTCACGCACTTCGCGCTTACTGGTCTCTTGCTACGCAGAAAAATAAAACCATTAACAAATTGATATTAAAGAAAACAATCAAGAGTAAGTATGAATAATTAGCTTCTATCCCTTGTTACATTAAAGGAAACGTTCGATCGTAAACTTGCAAGTCGCAGACCATTAAGATCATTAGGTTCATTCGGATTTCACGTATACAGCTTTGGAACGGAATTGATGTCACCAATCTTTATGGTAGGATTAAAAGTAATATCATAATTATATGCCTCGTCTTTCGGTGTGTATATGAAAATGCCAAACAATGCCGGTGGCACAGTCGTATGTCTACCCCCAAAAAGTTCTGGAGTTACTGCGTAATCATCATGTCAAACACACACGGCATTCATCTCACTTCGCTCTCGTTTACCTTCTACACTCGGTGCGAAAAAAATTTGCCCAACTTCGTGCGTGAGCAACGTCGTAAATTCTTAAAGGACGTAAGTATTCCGTGTTTCGGTCGCCTAACCGAGAGACGAGACGACGCATTATAGGATCCCACTTAATGTATTCTCAAAATGGTTATTAAAGTATGTTTTACAGGATGTATCGAAATGGATGTATAAATAAATTATGGCTCTGTCAATATTTAAGCGGACTTCACGGGGAGTTCGTTATTTGTATAGGGATTATGAATGTGTAACATATATTAACTGGCCGATTAAGCTTATCCATGTTTTGTATTGGGTCACTCTGTGGGCGGTCAGTTTTAATCTTTCACAGGACCTTGTTAGAATAAATAGACATTGGCGGATTGTTCTATACTAATTTCCATACTGCGACTCTATCAATAAACGATTTAGATCAGGACGACTTTCTCATTAACTAATTTTTGCAATTCTTCCATGGTCTACTGCAGTATAATATCGAATTTATTGTTCGTGATGTATTGTTCTGTATTTATTAGTAAATAATTTTAGTATATTAAGTTTTACTGAATGTCAGGATGTTTCACCACCATGATATTCAATTATTTTGTGTGAAATTACTGCACTACTTAGTTTGTTATAATTATTAAACAAAGATAGAACACTTAGAAAAAATTCACTTCGTTCCGGTTGGATTTGAACCAACGTTTCCCAGCAAATCGTACCAGACGCTATGCCTACTAAGCCACGGAACGAACCAACGGACCTCACGATTTTTACCATGTGTTTGTTGCAGATGTTTGTTTTTGGTTTATAACGACTTTTCGCCGTAGCACCTTCTGTGAGAAGTCTATAAAAGTTTTTTTTTCGTTTTATAATATATTTCCTTAATAGTTATTTAGTGAACCCAAATCACGTGTGACAGACACACGCAGTGTTCCTAACGATTTTGGTACTGTAGCGTCCTAGAGCCATACAGCGTCTATAACGTGCAGCTGTGTTTTCATCCACCATTTAAAAAAATATATGTATATAAAACAAATTTACAAAAATTAAAAAAAACCAAGAAAATTATTTTGTGATTAGTCACAATAGTATGTATGTATTTGTGAATTTCAAAGGAGGTTTTGATGGGTATAAAAGGGAATGTAAAGCTGGAGGTGACAGATAAAGTGCCGAACCGAGAACCAGCTAAAGTTAAGTACCTACCTGCTTTGTAACTTGTTCTATTGCTACTGTGTAATTGTGTTGTGTGTTGTGCTGTGCAAATATCGGTCCGGGACAAACTAGGAATGCAAATTACGATTCGATTTTTTATGAAGATTGATTGATGTGTGTTATGATTCAATTGCATATGATAGTCATTTTTTGAATCGAATAATTTTAATGCGATTTTTCAGTGAAACGATTCAAAATTAAGGCGAATCGAATCGTCTAGATTGTGTTCATAATTTGAACAAAATGCTCATCTTAATAATGATTTCGTCAAGTAGAGAAACGGAAAAAAGAGAAGGGCAACGCTTTGACCATTAAGTTTATGACATTATTATTGAAAAGTTTAGTTAGATTAAAAAGATTGGCATCTGTGAAAGGGAAAATAATATTTACATATTATTATGGCAATTAAATCATGTAATAAAGGTGTTTTATTTATTACAAATTTTGAAACGATTTTTATGAGATCGATTCAAGACGATCCAATCCGTGTATCAATTCAGAGGCATATGATCCATTGCGATCCAAAAAATCTATTCAAAACAAAAAATTGGGCAAACAGTGTCGCCAAATCTATCGCCTACAGTGCTAACCATATAAGTACTGTGCTAAAATACATGTATTGAGAATACAGTTCGCATTACGACGAACCTTAGTGGTTTAAAATGCGACTAGAAACATTTTGTATTATGCTTTATAATGGTAAATAAATTAAAAAAGAAACCGCTGAGCCACCGATATTGTCCACGTTTTCATATTCAATCATGCCATTAAGGTTGATTTGTTAATATCGGAAATAACATCAAACATTTTAGGGTTAGCTAGCTCCTTAAGCTATTCTCTTAGAGGTGACACTTACCCGACTGGAGTAAGTCTCCGAATCCTTGTCGTCAGCGAGTCTATCAAGATGGCGGTTGAAGGAGTCGCGCGAAAAGTCGCTGAACTTGTTTAATTGCGTATTGCGCTTTGTCTCGCGGTCCAAAGTGTTGTTACCATAGCGTTCGGTCGGATTGTCTAGGCTGAAATAAAACGCTTGTAAGATATAAATTCATTATGTGAAATTGCCGAAAGTATTCATATAAATTAATTGTTTGTGGTTTGCTCGCCGGTTTTCATGGTGTCGCTCACATTTCTGAGATCGATCCGGGTCAATGCGGAAAACTAACTCTTTTAAATTATCTCGGGTCTAGGTGTTTGTGGTATCGTCGTTGTTTCTGATTTCCATAACACAAATGCTTTAGTTACTTTGGGATCAGAGAAACGTATGTAATGTCGTCTTATATATTAAAATGTATATATTTATTTAGGTCAGATTTCTTTTAAATTTACTTATAATAATATTGTTTTTATTAACCGAGGTGGTTATTAATTGAGGTGAGGTGAGAGAGAGCTCACGATTGAGGGGAGAGGCAAACTCTCCACGAGGCTTACTTCGGCCGAGCGTCGAGCAGTCAACAGCCCCTGAGGATGCCTCGTGGAAAGGCGAAACACGTGTCGGGTATATTTTTGGAGGTGGTTTGTGACTGTAGTTGCGCTTGTGTTATTTATTTTTATTTTTATGCGGAGGGAGAGTGGTAAAATTGACTACATGAAAAAAAACACGAACGCAGCTATTTTGCACGATTTAACCTTCACTGGGTTCGCGGAATAGCAAATTAATTTACCTCCAATTTTTTCTTATTAACGTCCAGTTCCGCAAAGTAACGCTTGAATCTACTAATTATTATTATTATTTGTGACTTGTAAATGTTAATTTTACCAATAAAGAATGTCTATGTCTATTTATTAACCGACTTTAAAAAAGGATGAGGTTCTCAATTCGACTATACGTTTTTCTTTTTTTTGTATATATGTTACGCGATAACTTCTATAATTTGTGAACCGATTTTGATGATTCTTCTTTTTTGCTGGAAAGAGGGTACCATAGCAGTGGTCCCATTTAAATTTGAAGAATATATTTTACCTCTAAGGGCGGCAAGCTAGGGAATGAATCCGGTTTCGCGCACTTTCTGGTAACCGATTTCAATAAAACTTAGCAAATAGATGTAATTCCACGAACTTTTGAGGTTCATTTTTTTAGTTCTCTGTACTGAGGTTATTGAATATCATATTTTTTTACTGTCATGATATTACTATATTTATTGTGATATTACTCAACTAGTTTGTTATAATTATTATTACAAAGATGGAACACAAAGAAAAATTCCATCGATCTAATAGGACTCGAACTTGTGTCTTTATGTCAATCCAGGGCAACAGCTATACCAAAAGTGTTTTCCTTTACTATAATTTTGTTGTCTGAAGAAAAAGGTTTATAGTCACTGCTTCTTTGTTTAGGTATTTTCTAATTAAAAAAACGAAGTATAGAACAATGGAATGTATTCCGGGACGCGACTCAGAAGACGCAGACCAGAATCAATTTAGAAAAGTTCATTTTTCAATATGGTCCTACCGGGAATCGAACCCGGGACCTCCTCATAAGTTGGGCCATCAAAGTCGACTATTATATTTTTATTTATTCATTTATTCATATTATACAACTTACACTAACAGTAACAATAACATCACATATTAATGATAGCATGTCTGTATAGATACAGATGCTAGAGCATTTTACTAGAGAACTATTTTACGAGTCATAGCTGTCATAGCTTGTCATTATGTTGTGATATATACGACGTAATGTGATATTATATACAATAATTTTGCGTGTTCTATTTGCAACATTTTGTCTTACCTCATCTGCCTTGTTTTTTCTATGGCATCCCAGGAGTCTTTCCGTCCGATGTATGGCTTCCCGCCCGGGTCGCCTACGCCTGTCGTTCACAATTAAACGGTACACAATAAATAAATTCACCCAAATTTTTCGGTAAAAACTTTTAAAATAAAGTTATTGTCTCAGAAATATTACTTAAATATACTCAAAATAATACATACCCCTTGGGTACGGCGGAAGGTAATTTTCAGGTTAGTTTTCGGTGCATACATAATTTCGGTGGCAGTTTTTGTTATTTAAGTATTCGAGTCAACGATCTTATATACAAAAAGAATACAGTATATTGTGAAATAACGAATAATATTTTCAGGTGACTACACTCGAACATTAAATAGTACTTAAATAATGAATATTCCCACCGAAATTAGGCAGAGAAAACTAACGTGAAAATTGCCCACGTATCATTTTGTAGTACATTTACTTCTCAAAAAGCAAGGTAATTTACATAAATAATGTAAAACTACTCACTAGGGCTTCCTAGTCGCCTGATGTTGTCAGCCTCGAGTGAGGAAAAAGGGCTGATTTGATCGAGGTTGTCTTGAGAGTTGCTGTAAGAACTGTATTTGTAGTTGGAGCGTTTCTCCACTACACGCTTTGTAGTCGTCACAGGGCTGTACCGATCCGTAGGACTGCTCACTCTAAGGAAAAACATTAACTAAGAAATTAAAATGCAATTGTCTTCAGCACACTGTATTTCGCACCTCGCACCTAACCTGCACTGCACATATTTACTTTTTGTTTACTAAACGCCAAGAATCCTTTTGCCAAAACAAAAATTGGCAATCACTTGCGTGAGTTGAGACTCTGAATGAAAATTAGCTGATTTATCGACTTCCTGTGTAAGGCTGACTGACTGAAAATTGATTTATTGCACGAAATGTGCGTCATGTTTCTGCGCTGCTGGTAAACATTTTCTGTTTTTTAATAAAGGTTGCTGATTGTACATAAGCACGTTAGGTATATAGATGGAACATGCTACCGTTAACGTAAACCGATATTTCGCATTGTTGACGAATTCTAGGTATCAGTTTGCCATGGAAATTCTACGTACCTGTTAATTGGACTGGCTGTTCTATTCAATGGACTTTCTTTTCTCGTTAGCGGACTGGCTGTTCGACCGACCGGACTCGTCGCCCGATACGGGCTTGTCGCTCTATAGGGGCTATTAGCTCTATTAATATCCAACCGTGGGCCATTACCGAGGTGTTTCGTTGTAATTGGACTGGCAGTCCTATTTCTGGGACTCTCTGAACCGTAAAGCGAATAATCCTTCTTATTCATCCTTGTTGAGGAATACGCGGAATCAGTGACGTCATAACTCTTATCTTTAACGTCTGATGTATACGGCTTGTAATAATCGGTGGAGTCACGTCGTTCTTCGCGTCGATTGAACGTGCTCGTACCGTGTTTGGTGTTAGTGTCGTATAAAGTGTAATGGTTGAGTGGACTCTCAGAGCGGAGACGAGTCACTAAAAGGAATTTCAATGTTTTATTTATTTAATACAATTGCACAGAATTACAGTAAAATACAAAGGCACTGTGAAATTCATAAGTAGAAGACAATTTGTATTAATAATTCACAGAAGACAGACGTTCATCCATCCTCTCACAAAACCTTAAACATTCATCACACACAGCCACCCATCCACTTGCAAAAACATCACAGTTTAGTGCAGGTACGAGAAGTGCACGAAGACAGTGCAGAGCGCGAATAAATGTTATTAATATTTAAGATATGTTATGATAAGTGTCTATCGATGAGCAATTTTCAATAAGTGTGTGGCGAATTATACCTGGGCTGGAGACTCTCGCATAAGCTGGTAAGGGACTAGCGCTGTCGCGAGGCTTCTTGGAGCGTGACCCCACTCTGAACATGTGCGGTGATCCGTGAACATCATATCCGTTAAAGTAGACGTACAACTGCAATTGTATGATTTTACTAGTTTTTATTCTTTGCCATCTACAATCGAAGCGAGTATAAAGTAAACCCTGCAGCTTCGTTATAATTGCCTAATATGATCAGAAAATTTTGCCTAATTACTAAAATTACCTTCAAAGTAACATGTTAAAAAATTTTATTGGTCACTAACCCTGTGTTTTCCAGCTGCTTTCGGCATGAAGGTGGCTCGATATTTAGTCGCAGAAAGTTTCTCTAAAGCACACATAACGCTTCTTTTATCATGAACTATGTCCAATTGAAGATCGCCCTTGACGCCGCAACCACTAGTGTCAAGTTCGAAGGAATGTGGCTTCAGTGGCTCTGCACCGTCCAGAGCTCCGGGACTGAGTCGAACACCAGCAGGATCAAAGACTTCGCATGTGAAAGGGCCCCCCTGGAATACTCGTACTTTTAATATTCGTAGCAAGACGTGCATTGTAAGCAACTAATTATATTTGAATTAAATTAAGAAAAGCTGTTACCGCCATTCAAGCAGAGGTCGTGGGTTTGAATCTGGACTCGCACCTCTGAGATCCCGGATAGTTTAAGTGAAATTTAGTTTGAAATTTATCATGAACTTTCCGATGAAGGAAAACATTGCGATGAAATCTGCACGTCGAAGAAGGTTCACAACTCTCGGAAAACGTGAGCGGTCCCCAACCCGCATGGAATCACCGTGGTGGACGATGGCCTAAACTCTTGTCTAAGAGAAGACCCGTGCCCAGAAGTGGGACGTAAAAATGGGTTGCTATTGGTAATTATATTTGAAAGTAAATAAATATGTTGACTAACTTGAATATGTTCGCCTTTATAAGTAATGGCTATGGTCCATGTCCCGGGTTCGTCTGGTTGGAAGATGGCGCTGGAAGCCGTAGTGCCGGGCTCCGACGGTGGTGGATGTCTGGGCTCCAGCGCAACGGCACGACCACTCGGCGAGTGAGCTGTGACGTCTATGTCTTGGCGACGAGGTGCTCCTGAAATGCCCCAGAAGTGAATGGGGAGTGTCCAAGAGGGAGAGCAAGAAGGTGAAATTACAGGCACATGAGACTTGTCAACTTATGTCTCAGGGGACATTTGCGATTTAAAGAGCTGAGTGGCACTGCAACTGTTATGGACAGACGTGTAACTTACCATCAGGCATACGACTTGTTCGTCCCGTCACTTGATATTATAAAAAAAATAAAAAAGAAGAAATCGATATTTTCTATCAAAATGAGAATCTATGACATGTGGACTTCGTGTTTGTTGGTACTGAGTACTTATCGTCCTGAAGCGTTTATGTACAACTAGCTCACATGTAATGTAACTAATTTGAGCTAATATAATTTAAACTGGTTTTTGAGCTGCGCCAAACATGTTTGTCAAATTAGTCATTCTGTGTGTGCAGTAGCTGAGAAAACTCTAGTATTCAGTCATACATTAAATAGTAGCAACTGTACATTGGACTGTAAAAGAATTTCCGATTTTGTTGTCACCGTGAGCCTCACAAAGTGCGAACTAAATTTTGTGCGCGACACGAGAATTTTAGTGGCGCTAGCAAACTTTGTTATCGGAAATTCTATTTCAGTGACATGTCCTTGATTTTTACAAATCCCAATAAAAATTGTATATTAAAATTTACCTACGTTCTTACGTTTTAAGGTTTGCCTAAAAATGTAAATTACGGATTAGTTAAGCTATATATGATGCGTAAATGGAAATAAAGTTTGGCACATTGGAATATTCATTTTCAAATATAGCTTTATAGTTCGTCTAGTTATTGGTATTAAATTTTGTAAGCGATCCGATATTAATGCCCTTACAGTTAGCTGTACTCTTTGAGGATGGCCCAATACTCCGTAATATTAAGATAGTAAGATAGATAAGATAGGTGTGGTTTGGCATTATTATGATAAAACTTTACGATTCAAGATTCTGAGCGATTTTCAAGAATTATAAACTTAAAATTTTCCAGCTTTTTTAATGACCATAGACAGCATATTTTTTTGTTCACGTAAAGTTGTTAGCTAGTAGCATAAATCTGAGGATGGAAAAAAAAAATAAACCGCAGATTTTTTTGGCCAACCTATTACATATAGCACACGTAACCAATTACTGTCGTTGAGTTGAGTTAGGTGGTGGAATTGAGAAAACACGATTTGAAAGTTTTAAAAAATTACTCAATGGAACCAATAAATTTATATTCTCGTTTATAAGTGGATAACTAAATATTATGTATAAATAAAAATAACCTTATTATTCCCAAAATGTAAACTCAGACAATTTTTGAACTTTCAAATCATTTGTTCTCTTTCCAGCATTTTTGAGTTATGACAGTATTTCATTTGCGAATATAGTATTAGTTTAGTTTAGTATAGTTTGTGCGATTGTTAAATCTTTTTATTGAGGCTGTTTTTTTAACCATTACGTCATAAGGAAAAATATCAACGTTTAGTCATTCCGTGACCACGGCGCATGTAACCGTTCCGAAATATCGGGAAGTTTATAATATCTATTATAGAGTCCTCTACACCTGAGCTACAAAGCCGTTAGACATGTTTGTTTTATTTTTGTTGTATTGCACACCAAGTAATTTTGTTTTTTTTTGTAGTTACCTGTAGCACTGACTAGTACTTCTACGATACTTCCCATGGCACATGGCGCCATACCCGGAGGTGGCACTGTGACCAACCTTGGTAGCACCCTAAAGAAGTATCTTCCATCGACCCTGCGAGAATACAGAAACTTTGCACATAACGACATGAAACCAAATACTGTCATAACTCAAAACTGGTGGAATTGTGAAAAAAGGATTTGATAGTGCAAAACAAACTGTTATATGTTATAATAATTACTTATTTACTTATAAACAAGAATATAAACTTATTGGTTCATTCAGTAATTTTATTTATTTATTTGCATCATCATCATCATCAAATTTTTTGAACTTTTAAGTTGTGCTTTCTCTGTTCCATCAATTTTGAGTTACGACAGTTTACAGTTTCATGTGCGATAAGTATAGAACATTTCGTACAGTTGTACACGTGATATTTATTTAATAAACACTGTACACACCTGATGTCATCCACGGTGAGAACTATCTCGTGCATTCCAGCATGCTCAGGTATGAACTCGCCAGAGCCCCTCGAATCCAATTTTAATCTTGATTCTTGCTCTAAAGGGTTCACTATGGACACTTTTACGTCGGATACGGAAAGCTCGTTTGCAACACTGTCCACTTTTATGTAGGTCTGGAAAACGAAATTCAATGTGAACCAAGCGCTAGCGGAAAATTTGGAGTTTACATTTTTGTTCAAAATTCAGTGGCGAATGAAATAGCGTAAATTATCATGCACCATTAGGTCTATTGTCTCGTATCCAATACATTGCACGCGAACGCTAACATAGCATTGTTTATTTAGGATAGTAAAATATACAGGCTGCTAACAAATCCGGGACGGATACTTTTAGAGCTTACTTCTTACGTTATTATAATCACTTTGAAGTTCGCTACAAGTCTTCGTAATTTTTCACGAAATTTCGAAACGAGTTAATCATCAAAAAAACTTACACCTTTAACATAAAATGTGCGATAAAGTAATAATGATAATGACAATGACGATGACGATGACGATGACGCAGTAGGCATACAAATATTGATTGAAGTTTTATTTATTTCTCAATCACAAAACAGGCTTAAGAGTAAGGAACTTAGGGTTAAATACTAGACTAAAAATTGGTCAGACTATTTTGTGAGAGACTGGTGCCCGAGATAGGTATAGAAAAACCTGAATTACGGGTCACCAGGCTTCCACTCTGCAGTTGAGTAATTTGGTTGTGGCACAGAGGTTGTGGCAAAGGATAAAATATATAAAAGTTAGTGGAATATTCCTGATTTAGAATAATAAAGGTACTAGTGAACTAAACTAAGTATTTAAAAAAAACCCTCTCAAGGTTTAACACTAAGTAAACTCACAATATGAAAAGTGTGAGAATGAGTGAGTGAGTGTTTATAAGGTGAATGTGTTACTGATTAGGTGTGTAAGATATGTACGTATGGGGTGTGTGGAATGTATATTGAATAGAATGTATTCAATATTTGTATGCCTACTGTTACTCACATGCTCTTCGACAGACTAAACCAGGTGCAACATGTTTCGTTTTTCAATAATATAAATAATAATAAATAATAAATAACGCACTCACACAACATAGCCCCGCACTAGAGAAACCCTGTGTCGCGGGTGCCATGGACACACACATAGACAACCACAAATTACACCCTAACTCACGAGATAAATAAATGTAGGCCATACAAACATTTCTCCCGGCCCGGGAATCGAACCTGGAACCTCTGCGTTTAAGTCCGGCATGGTAACCGTTCGGCCACGGAAGCAGTTTAATATTACATGAGCGTGCACACATGGATTTAATAAGTCGGTCAGAATTTAAACGCGATGATAGTTACATGGGTCGATTTTAATGGTAATTACATGTCAAAATAATATCGGAACATGCATTGACCAACATGAAAACGTCAATAACGTCCAATGTCAAAAATTAGACAATGAATTTAGGGATTTATCATTTAAGAATTCAGACACTGTATAGTACATTTTATTAGTCAGTAACTTGTTTAAGAGGGAGCAGAGGAAAAATTCTTAATCTTCGATTTGATTTTAGAGGGGTATATCCACTTTAAAGTTAAAAATAAAATATTGTATGAGTAACTACACGATATATTCAAGCATAGACATTATCAGAAACATAAAACAATAAAGTTTCCTCGACAGATGAAACTCACGAAATGACCTCTAATTTTCACATTTTTTCGATTTATCCTGGAAATGCTACAGGTTATTAAGACAAAAATTAGATAATTAATTATATTTATGCATGATCGAGAACTGTCACTACGGATTTTTTTAAATCCCTTTAGTTTTAGAGTTATTCCTCTAAAACGAATTTGGTACTTTTAATGCGCAAAATTTAACATCTCCTGTCGCATGTCACGCGAACTTCAGGCATATATTTGTTTCACAAATTTGGGCGGAGCCAACGTCAAAACTTTTTTGGCATGAAAGCTCTTAATTGTTTTTTAAATAGCATAAGGTTTTTCTCAGACCTTAGTGTTTCCGGTAAATTGTTGTAAATTTTTGGCGCCATTACAAAAATACTTTTGTGCATAAAGGTAGTTTTACAGGCTTTCAAACGAAGTTGGTCATATCGTCTTGGCTTCAGAGTTCGTGTGAACAAGTGTGAGTGCATTCGGACATACACGGCAGTTTCGTAGATATAAAGTGAAGGAACAGTCAGTAGTCGAAGAGCTTTAAAATATGGTTTGCAGTTATCTGTTCTCTTCAATCGACAAATTGTTCTGACACTTCTTTTTTGTGCCTTAAGAACTGAGTTCACATTTGTTACGTTATATGAACAATATTATACCGTATCTTAATATGGACGCAACATAACCGGTGTGCTTGAAGGACCGAGTCTCTATCTACAACTTTGCTAAGCATGTATAATGTATATGCATAAGTAATTTGATCGAAGATTAAAATGACAAAAGAATATCAGTGTAATGATATGTCATCATTTGTTTCTAAATATACAGCTGGATGGACTGAATTATAAATTTATTTTTTGTTCGTGAACGTATATTTAAAAATCGCACAAAAAGCGTTTTTGAATTGTATTTTAAATTGAGTCTTCTAATGCAAAATCATCTTTTAATATATATAGTTAATATATAAACTTATTAGCACCTTATATACAGAATTTGAGATTTATAAATAAAGTATAATAAAGTAGTTTCCCGTAGATCGGCTTCAACAATAGTTTGCAACACATCATTATCATCGCCTTATATCCTGATCGTGTACCCTACGAGGTTTATTTGCTACAGGTAAAAATGTTCACTGTGAAATTAATTACTTGAGCAAACCAAAAATGCACAGTGCATTTGTTAGTTGCATTTGCTTCATATAAGTTGTTATAATGTTTCGACTCATTTGAGCTGCAATGGTGTCATATGTTTTAACTAAATTGCCTCAGTGGCCGAACGGTTACCGTGCGACTGCCACGCAGAGGTCCCGGGTTCGATTCCCGTGCCGGAAGAAATATTTGTATGGCCTACAATTATTTCTCTCGTGAGTTTGGGTGTAATTTGTGGTTGTCTATGTGTGTGTTCAAGGCACATGCGATACAGGATTTCCCTAGTGCAGAGGTATAAAAAAAATGAAAAAGCATAGAAGTGGGTAGTGGGTTAGTCAGAACCCAATTAACAACAACAAAATTTTAACCGGGTTGTGACGTTGCGACACCTTGCGTCGTCAACCCATCTCTTTGTCACCCTTTTCTTTGTTTCCTGGCCATTTATTTTTGAAATTTTGGATCGTTCTCTAATTCTTTTTCTTCACCATGCTTCGTTCTGTCGCCACTCCCATTAAAATTCTCGAGGAGAAAAGACCTTCAGTCATGCAACTTAAACTGCTAATAAAGCAGCAATATATTTACATACGAACACTGTCCCTTTTGGGGTAAGTTCACTTATGTTTGTCTAATCTATAGGAAGTGTTTTTATATTATGTTATCTGTTTTTATACCATTGTTTTTTGTTACAGCCTGATCCTTTCTTCTTTCTTTTCGTTCGCCTTTTCCCTACTATTATACCTTTTACAATAAATGGTGTGGACCAAGCGTTACGTTACTTTCAATCATTATTACGCAAGACCCGCGTGACACTGGTGCTCGGACAGGTTTGTACCTAAAGTGTCGTTTTAACCTTTTCTGCCCAAAATCGTGGACAAAAAAGTTGAATACGGAATTTGGTATAACTCCATTTTTATTACAAATTTCACTCCACACAATACTCACATTGAAATCCTATTGATTCTCACTGCCACGGACAGACAAACGAGTCGATTTTTAGGAAGATCGATTCAAGTGCATACGATCTACGATTTTGTGTATCGATTTATTTCAATGCGATTTTGCAAAGGCAAATCGAATCATATAGATCAGAAGTAACAAACATTTTGTAATAATATCCAATTTACAGCAAATATTTAGTTGTGAATAGTTTTTGTCCTAGATTGCGGATGTTAATGGGTTTTAAGTTTTAACACGATTTAAGCTCGGCGTTAATAAAGCGCCGGGTATTTAGGCGCTTGCCCATCTCTGGTCGGAACGCATATAAAAATCTAAACAAATTTTAAAATTTTAGCAGTATAAATGTTTGATTTGAAAGTGAATGACAAAACCAATGAATCATTAAAAAACGTTTTTTTTTTTTAAATCTGAGTACGGTCAAGACATGGTCGATACTTAAGATTTAAGATTGATTGTTTATAGAATCAATCTACTAAGAATGCTTACGATAAAAACGGTCCAAAGCCCAATATGTTAGGCATGATGTGCTATTGACTGTACTACTGGCTGGTACTAGTAGTTAGAACTTTACAAAGAGAATTTCATATCCCTTATGTAATTAAAATGAGTATTCGTATATTTTTACATAAACTGACATGTGATTCGATAAATATTAACAAAGTTACCTACTTTAAACGTTAATATCTTATCAAGTAAGTCATCGCTTGTGTTATTTGTTTCTGTGAGTATTCCACGTGCAAGTAAATATTTTGAATAAATAGTTTTTGTATTTCTTTTTTTCATATTTATATGTCATTAATTACTTAAGATATTATATATTGCATTAACTTTATGTTAATTTGTTTTTATTTTTTTAAATGTTTTGTTATTTGTGGTGTTTATTTTTTTATGTTAAATTTTTATATCAGTTTAAGTAAAAAGGATTAATTTGAACAAACTACCTTCACCTAGACACCTAGTTATTGTTACCATCGTGTTAGTTAACTTTCATTATAGTACTCAATACACTGACCGGTTCTCCAACTCTACCAGACGTAGAGTCAAGAGCGACGCGCAGCATATCGTGCACGGGAGGTCGTGGTGGGATATTACGGAACTGAGAGGCCCATGCCATTACACCGAGGTGTTCCACATCGCTGGAGCTCATATCTTTCGCTGATAATACTGGCTGGACACCTGCAAAATAACGGTCCATATAATTTTTTTCCTACATCTACGTAAATACGTACTGTAAAGATTAAATAACAATCTAAACATTTGTTTGCTCTTTTGAGCCTAATCGCAAGTTAATATTGTATAGATTTAAATTCAAATAACACTTAAATGCTTAGTTTTTTTAACTCAAGCGTGTCTTTAACTGTTTTTTAACGCAGGACAGCGAAATTCATTGGTATATTCATGGATATACGGACGTCATTCCGACTTAAATTTTGTTGTACAGTATTCAAGTGATAAAAGTACTATTGACACGTAGTTTTTATACGAAGTATGTAGAGACAAGTAATCATCATCATATCATCTTTGTGTTACTAAGTATATATTTATTTATATATTTTTTTATAATAACAAGTGACGAGGCGAACAAGTCGTGCGTCTGGTGGTAAGCGACATGTCTGTCCATAACAGTTGCAGTACCACTCAGAGCTTTAGATCACAAAGATCTGAGGGGCATTGCAACTGTTATGCCAATGCACCCGACACCCTGAGACATAAGTTGACGAGTCCCTTGTGCTTGTAATTTCACCAGCACCCTTACCTTTCGAAACCGGAACGCAGTAATGCTCACATTACTGTTTGGCGGCAGGAATAAGTAAGGTGGGCAGTACTTCCCTGGACGAACTCTTTCACAAGGAACTCTACTGCTACAATAGGTAGAATATTGTGCCCCAATTGTATTTTTTTGTTGATATGCAACGTATTTTACAATTATAAAACAGATGAAAAGATTCAAACCGAGTTTCTTCGCAGCATCGATAGCCATCTGATTGTTTTCCTCCCACCGTGCTGGGTCGCGGCGCAGGCGGCTGGGTGGCGGGGCCGGTCCACCCATGGACCGCACCAATTCGTTCGCCACGCGACCGTCGTTCCAGTCCGTCTGAGAATGTAGGCAGGAATATTAATTCCCCTCTTTTAATTATGACAAATTCAATTACATTAAAGATAATCCTCTTACAACGATTTGTTATTCGGGTAACAAAATTAACTAAAGTGCCCCCCTCAGATAACCCCCACAGATTACAGGGGTCTTAGAATACATAGATCCGGCGCAATACTTAATACATCGTGTCGAGTATTGATTCTACCGGGAACCTTATCCAGGCTATTACCTCTTGTAGTATCTGTAACTTTAGAGCCGCTGAGGTTTAGGTAGACCGTAATCATATCTACTAGACAAAGAAAGAAAAAAAAGAGACATTTATTCAGCTTATTAAGACTTATACATATTATATTCAGCATATGTCACAGCTCAACTGCTGTAATGCTGGTTTTCAGTTATTGCTACTTTTATAGGATAAGATGGCGCGAAATTATTGATGAGGTTAACACTAAAATTATAAATTATAACTTAAAATTTAACTAAAAATAAATAGGAATACTGCACTTCTTAGACAATTATACAGAAGAAATTAGAAAAGACCGCCATCATTGCTGCAAGCAGTTCTTCTATATACATTTACTTTTCTTTAAAAAAAAACCTTTTCTAAAAAGAAAGAAAAATAAAATTAAAATTCTTACCTAACCGCTTAACGGGAGCTATATTGAGAAGTTTCTTCCAAGCGACATCGATAAGAGATAATTTACTTTAGATATTGTTGGTCATTGTTATAGAAATGTTTATAGTATAACTTACACTATTACAATAGAGATCAATATGTGAATTTTTTACCGTAAAATTAGTGATAGCTCTCTCCAATCGCGAGTTCACCCACTCCAAAGTAGATCTGTACCCCGGACCACCAGGCTTCATGAAGTACGATAGATATGTCATGCCAGACAATTCGTCCAGCCATGGTGAGGCCAAGTATTCAGGTTCTAGTACCATGGGCACATCAAGTTCACGGTGGGCTAGTTTCATGGCACGACGACAATTCTCCACAGCTTCGTGGCGATCTGAGATGTAAAAACATAGTAATATTTTAAATGTTAAAAGTTATTTTTACTGTAAAATATCAATTGACTAACTAGTACGTACCTTTATTTTTTAAATTTATTTGGTCAGTCAACAATTGTTACACCAATAAAAGATTTTACTGTTTTAACCAATGATATTTTTAAACCGACTTCAAAAAATTGAGTAGGTTCTCCGTTCGACTGTATTTTTGTTTGTGCTTTCTCGGACTAGTGTTCACTACCGAATTTCCGTAGCTATTTTTATTATTTAATATATATGATTTTTTTATCGTGCAATATTATGTAATATTTGAGTAATATATAGTGAAATATAGTTAAATAATTATACGATAATATATTTGACTATGTAAGTAATAAAAATTGCCTCGTACAATAGGGCAGTGAACACAAATCCGAGAATGATCGGTGTATGTTACGCGATTATTTATTCATTTGTGAACCGATTTTGATAATTATTTTTTTATGGAAAAGAAGTACCTGAGTAGCAGTTCCATTTAAATTTGAAGGATATATTTCACCTCTAAGGGTGGCAATTGGACTTCACTCACATGCCATTAACCGATTTCAATAAAACTTGACAAATAATAAAATAAAATTAATAAAATGCTATGATGACTTAGAGTAGTTAGTGACAAACGCGCATTCATGAAAAGCGCGATTGGATCGCTTCACTTGCGATTTACAAGCGATTGCACCGATGCCGACGCGCGACTGTATCGATACAAACGCGCGATTGCAACGATGCATTCACGCGCTTGTATTGCGTTTGCATCGCTGCTTAATATCGCCGTGTGTAACCGCTCTTAGAGCTGAGCTGGTGATGGAAATAGCAAACAGATGAGAGAAACTCCTCAATAGTGTACAGCAGTTACCTTGTATTTGGTCTCAATTTTTTTGAACTTGAACTTGCATATGTGTTTCAGTTATAGTTAAGGAGACCACGGTAACGAACACAACGAAAGTAGATTAGCAAGTTTGTTTGAGGTCTGTGAGTCTTTTGAAAAACAAATTAAATAGAAAATCTATTGTGTTTTGTCTAAACTATTTTCAAAATAATTAAAGGCATAGAATCTTTTTCATAGATAAAAGTATTTTCACCTCACTAGCTCGGAAAGACTTTCTTTCTCATTAGAAATCTGCGCGCAAAAGCGTTTTTGGACCTAGCGTGGAAAAGGTTTTTGAAATTCGCAATTCGAAAACTTGGCGATGGACTGTGGTGTACCTAAATTAGGTGCGTTCTTTTAGGTAGGTTAGTTCTTTCGATAAAAAAAAAACATAATGGCACGCTCAACTACGCGATATGTTGTATACATTATTTATGTAATATAAATCCGTTCGTATATTTTATTCTTATTATTGTTGACATTGAATTGACAACTAATAAGTTGTGTGTTTCGCTCGGCAGAAAAGTTGTTTTGCGTCTCGTGTCTTGAAACCTTACGCTCAGGAACTATTTTGGAATCACTCGCGTAGCTTCCTTTGTTTGCTCAGGTTTCAATACAAGCACTCGAGTCAAACAGCAACTTTGCTGCCTTGCATAACAAATCACTATTGTTTGATCGTTAAACTTGTTTGAATGTAATATCGGTGAATTGTACTTAATTTTTTCAAATGCGCTGTCATAGGCGCTAAAAAACATTAAAAAACTCACTGAGCTCTCTCCAGTGTGGGAAGATGCCAGGCTTAACATGGTCTAGTAGTGCCGACAGCAACACTCCGCTGTTCCAGTCGGTGGTTAAGTTGCCCACTCGGCTGTCAGGTAATGCAGCTTGTAGCCACGACAACATTAGTTTCCTGTAAAGTTAATGAAAACACAGTTTTTAAATTAACACGTTTTTACGGTTGTAGGTTTAGGAGCCCACAGGAAGCTGTTAGACTAACGGTTTGGACCTAACATCTCTTGAGCAGCTTAAGTTCTCTGAGTTTCTCGGAATTAACGTGCGAAATTTTATTTACAATTTGCCACGAGCTTTTCAGTGGAGGAAAACATCGTAATGAAATCTGTACGTTCAAGAAAGTTTATAACCCTTGGAAAACGTGTAAAGTCCCCAACCCGCATTGGGCCAGCGTTTTTTTAGTCGTGCGCCTGATGGTAAGCTACACGCCTCTCCATAACAGTTGCAGTACCACTCAAAGCATTAAATCGTAAAGATCTGAGGGGCACTCCACTGCGCCCGTCACCCTGAGACATAAATTGACAAGTCCCATTTGCCTGTAATTATACCAGCACCCTTACCCTTCGAAACCCTTCGAAACTCTTTTACAACGAGCTCTACTGCTTTTTCTTAGAGCGTGGTGATCTATGGCTTGGATTCCTCGTCTGAGCAGAGACCCATACTCAACAGTGGGATGTATAAATGGGTTGATGGTGTGGTTGTAAAACTTTTATGATTATTCACTAAACGATTACCTATTTTTTATTTAAGGTACTATTAATAAAACTGATTCCGCCTTAGTTTCACGTGTGGTTATAATAAATGTAGTGTGTTGGGAAAAATGAGTGATAATGGTAATACCGCAAGAAGTCGAGACGAGGGTAGTCGACAATAAAAGAGGGTAGACAGATATGTCTATTCTTAAAGCTGTCAACTGCCGTTTGCCAGTTAACCCGTGACTATCAAGCGTGTAACAGCTCTGAAATACTAGAAGAAGGGTAAAGTCACAACTCGGTGAGAAATTTGTAACAATATATCCGTTTTTTACCCGACTTAAAAAGGAAGAGGTTCTCAATTCGATTGTATTTTATCCGACTGCGGAAGGGTTAATAGAAACGTCTTAGTAGGCTTAGTATTGTATTTTCTATATAATTTTTCGACAGAAATGGAGTGTTTCCCAACCGAGGTCTGGTTTGGCAAGTCGTAGGTGCAGCCGGCGGCACCCATGCAGACGTGTTGGACTAATTGTACGCGAGATTCGTCTATATCTTGGCGAGAACAAGAGCAAATATTGAACGAAACGTTAAATTATAATTATAACTTTTTTTGTAAGAAAAAACCGACCTCGAAAGTTTGTGGAATTACACCTATTTGCTAATTTTATGTAATTGAGTAACGGAAACTGGGTGAAATCCAATAAGTGGGATTCATCACCTACTTTGCCACCCTTAGAGGTGGAATATTTTCTTAAAATTTGAATGGGTCTACTGGCGTCCCTTTCCAACAAAAAAGAATCATCGAAATCCGCTCTCAAACATCGGAGTAATCATCGCGTAACAAACACGCTAAAAATACAGTCTAATTGAGAACGAAGTCTGTTAATAAATTCGCGAAAAAACGACAATTTAGCTTTTTTGGATTGTCTATTTGAGATTACTTTGTTAAGCTATAAAAATAACTTTGAATTTTATATAACGCTTTCTTGTTATGTATTATTTATTTTTTAACTGACTTCAAAAAAGGAGGAGGTTCTCAATTCGACTGTAATTTTTATGTGTATGATTCCTTTATTTGTGAACCGATTTTGGTGATGGAAAAAGGGCATCTCGGTCTTGGCCTCATTTAAATTTGAAGAAAATATTTCACTTCTAAGGGTAGCAAACTGGGGGATGAATCAGGTTTCGTGCACTTTCCGGTAACAGGTTACAATAAAACTTGGCAAATAGATGTAATTCCACGAATTTTTGAGGTCAGTTATGGCATAACAGGGACTTTTGTATTTTTTTGACATTATAGTATATAAATTATAAGTTTTATAACATAGGTTTATAGTACGCGGATTTTACAACAGATTTACGAACAAAGTCAAGTTTGGTACAAAATCTAAACACACCATAGGACCAAGGAATCACTTAGTTTCGCTTGCTTAGATACAGTTAGTTCTCTTTAAAGGTTACGCCCCGTACAGCTAAACCGCTTGCGTCACAATGTTGCGACACCAGAAGTAAGAAAGATCACATTTAGTTGACACACCTGTAGATGCTTCGTAGTGTTTTTATTATCAAAAGGAAGTATATTTTTGTAAGCAAAACACATGGAATGTGTATCAGCAGATCTCATCGATTAGAAATCGGTTTGGTGGTAGGAATATTATATTGAAAGCAAAGTAAATCGGATAATTTTGCTAATTAATCATTAGTAGCGCAAAAATTATTATTTTTTATAACAATAAATCTCATTTCAAGTGTATATTATTCTTATATTTAATCTACTTATGTTATATACAGCTGTAGAGCTCCTTATGAAAGAGTTTGTCCAGAGAAGTACTGCCACCTTACCTATTTCTGCCGTCAAGCAGTAATTATTTTATTAATTTAATTACTGCGTTCCGGTTAGGAAGGGTTAAGGGTGCTGGTGAAATTACAGGCACATGGGACTTGTCAACTTATGTCTCACGGTGACAGGCGCTGTGACAGTGCCCCTTAGATCTTTGCGATTTAAAGCTCTTTAGTGACGCTGCATTTGTTATGGATAGGCGTGTAGCTTACCATCAGGCGCACGACTTGTTCATCCCGTCACTTGATGTTATAAAAAAAATATAAATCTCATTTTAAGTGTAGGTACAATTATTCTTACATTCAATATATAACTAATAACTTTTTCTTCTGTTATTGAAAGAGTGTTGGTCTTGCAAAACACGAATTATCGCTTCATAAACGTATATCTGCTAAAAAGTATTTTATTAAATATAGAATTACTAGCTGATGCCCGCGACTGTGTCTGCGTAGAATAAATAATTCGAGTAGTCTACAGTGCTATACTAATTTCCATAGTTTTGTTGGTTCTCTATACAAACTTTCATCCTCTATTTCACTCCTTTTAAGTTGATTTTTTGGGATGTCCTTCTTCTAAGTCACATCTATGTCTATATCATAATTCACCAATGTTGGTTCATTGGTTTGGGTGTGGAAATGTAATAAAGTTACTTTCGCATTTATATAATATTAGCATGGATGACTAATTTCATTGTGTACATATCATTATTGTATGTACGTTGCAAAAAATGATATAGCGAAGATATCAGGCATACATACATATAACACTAGATGTACATTTAAACTAGTAACAAATAAAATCGAATTAGTAACAACGTTAAAACAAACATAAATATAAAAATTTATATGTATAACAAACTACCAATTACTTACTGTATCTGACTTGGGAATGGCTGCATTCAAGCAAACACTAAAACTTTACTTTGAAAATCACGTTTTTTACGGCGCATTTATGGATGCAAATATAAATGGATATTCATTTTCATAAAAAATCGTGATGAGCGCTTTGTGTTATTATATATGCCTGAATAATTTAAGTTTGTATTTCCTGTAATTACTTCCTCTAACTTACTCTAAGGCAACGTAGGTACCGTGTTTCTTGGTGAATAAATATTTTGAATTTAATTTTGATCATTCGATCTCCTCTAACCGATAAGAGTAAAATATTTACTCGTCAATGGCTACATCAATATTAATTCGTGGTTAGTACCGCAGACGTCCACACTAAGTACCTCAACCACATCCATAGAGAATGTTTTCATGAATGTTGCAGTAAGCGGTATATTTTGCGGTGGCGTACGTTTTGCCCATAATTCAAACAATTAATGTACAGTTACGTTCGAATGGTTGCATTAGTATTTTTGTTATTTATATTTATGTATGTTGAAAATGCTGTACTGAGTACCAGTTTCGAGGCATTTCTTAAACTTTTTCGTAGACTTGGTATAATAAAGCCACATGTGATCACAAAAATAACACGTACCACATGAAATAACTTATGTATGAATGTGAAAGAACAATGGCACTCCCACATAAATTTTTGTTGAATAAAATATATTCGATATATTATTATATCAAAATAAACTACAAAAGCTTTAAACAGAGTTGATAGGATTAGTGGTGTCGCGGGTTTGTGACATAATGATGGTTGAGAGGAAATAATTTTCTTATAATGGTATGGTCAAAAGGCATGAAGTTAAGCCATATCAAAAGAAAACTGAGTTAATACATCCAAGAAGTGATAACTCAAACACAAATTATTTGTTTTGTGAAACGTGCCATCTATTCCTGACGTCGGGAACTTTTTGTCAGTTTTACCATTTTCTCAGGAGGCATATTTGGACAAGGAATTATCTACTTTAGTTTCCATAAAAAAGTAGTTAATCTCATATTGCAAATCGATCGAATCAATACATTTGATATAACGTTAATCTAACTTAATGTGGACCTATCCATACGTAGGTACTGATAATCTGTTTTTGGCGTCTATATGTCGCTCAACGTTAAGAAATTAAGAAACTGATAGTTGTAGATATCAGTCCGGTTATATACCAATTAGTCATTTGAGTTTCTTTTAAATATGATTTTATTTTCAGACTTAGAGAGGCCTTTATTACAATTTGAAAAACCTATAATGAATGTTATTCAGACTTGTAATTATGACTTTTGAAACCGCTACAGAATTCTTTTAACAATGATTTCGCCATTGTTCTTTTATAATTCTCCTATTCAAGCGTAAAAAAATTATAGAGTAATTTCATACGTAGAATCAATAAACCTCTCTCCTTAAAAGTTGTTCTTTTGTAGACTTAGGTTTAACCGTAACCAATGGTGCGATTTATAATGTCTGTCAAAATTCTGTTTATATAATGCAAACAATTCTTTGAAAAGATGTGTATTCTTATTACCCATATTCAAATGCGTACTATGAAAAATTTTGCTATTGTTTACCTAAAACGACTAACGATCATGCATTATAATTACGTAGAAATACTTTTGATTCCTTACCTTGGCGGGAACTTGCTTCTTCCTATCTGGTACCGCACAATGAGAGACCAGATCAATCCGAGTATTAGTTTTAAATTGCCGTTCACTATATCCACGTTTCCTGTAGATAAAAAGTATAGTAAATTACTATCAGTTTTATGCTATTTGTATTATTAAGCTTCATTTATTAAATTTTAAATGTGATGGAGATTTTGATTTTAATGTTAAATTTGTAGAATCACTCCACTAGCTTGTTATAATTATTAATACAAAAACAATAATAGAGAACAAAAAATCCTTCGATCCCAGTGCATTCGAACCAGCGCCATCAGTATGCCGTGCCCGACGTTCTCCTTACTGAGCTACGGAACGGACCGCATACCTTACGAATTTTCTGTGTACTTGTTGTACATCTTTGTTATTGGTTTTCATGCCATTTTTTAATGGAAAATGTAAGGTTTTGAGGTTACTCAGAAAAACGAGCACATTTTCTTCTTATTTAAAAGCTAGGCTCTTATCGCTGGAGTAATCACCTCTGTTCAGTGCCCTACCTTTGATTTCTTGACACAACACGATATTAACTTTTTGCCTTATCTGATCTAAATAACTATGCCTCGGTCTTCCTCTGCCTCTATTTTCTTCTATGTCATCTTCTCTTTTATCATAGTATAATAAGACAAGTATGGTAACTTACCATACAAACGTAACAGCGCGGCCTGTATGTGTACACGCCCGCCGGCCGCCGTGTACGGACGCACACATTCGCATAACAATGAGAGGCGAGTGTGACGAAAAGCGGTATGCAACGTGAATGCATCGCGAAATTATGCGAATGTGTGCGACCGTACACGCCACGCGGCTGGCGCGCACATATACAAACCTCGCTGTTACGTTTGTATGGAGTTACCATACTATGCTTTTAGAGAAAATTGTCGTGGCGTATCAGATGCCCAAACATCTTTTCCCTATCGGTTCTCTATACCTACCCTTTAATAAACTTCTTTTTTCACACATTATAATTAACACCTTTTCACTGGTTTTTTTCCAACTGATTCCCTCCTTTCTTCTCCAGCGCATCTCAAATGTTTCCTATAGTTCTCTGTCTCTCTGCGTTATTGTGCATGTCTCATTACCATAGAATGCAATACTCCAAATGCTCCAAACCATCCAAACTCATTTTACAACATAACAAACAAACACTATAAGCGTAAAATGTTTACGATTGCAGGGGAGTATGAAATAGCTCTATCTCTACAGGAGTATCTTCATATACATATACGTAGATGGATAAGCAGATATCCTCGTACAAATAGGAAGCAAACACGATAATTACATTTGAACAATTTACGTGTATTCGTAATAATAACATTGACTATTCATTGTCAACGTGACCTTATTAGTCATGCGTACATAACAGGTAATCACGACACAACACTTAGGCATAAAAATTGCACATTGGCGGTTAAATGATAGGAAGACCAAATTAAAAACTGTTGTTATGGTCGAGGAAATACTGACACTTAAAAAAATATATATACTATACGAGTATAATTATTTTTCCCAATGAAATGATGATCTAAAGAACTCACCCCGATTTAATTTAGGAAATACCCAGTATTATGCCACCCTTACCAATGTTAACAAGCTTAACACCATCATCCTCTATGGCCTGTAGTGCGGTGGTGACATTGTCTAGTTTGTGGTGTTGATTGCCAGGATTGGGGTTCCAACCCTTTAATCTTCGACCTTGTAAAGCTTCCACCAATGAACATAACACTGTCCCATCTCGTAGATCCTCTACCAGATCTACGACCTGAAAGAGATGCATAGCGTATTAGGTTTGTGTAACATGCAGACGTGTTTTCTTTTATATTGTTTTTGTGGTGCCTAGTGACGGGACGAACAAGTCGTGCGCCTGATAGTAGCTACAAGCCTGTCCATAACAGTTGCAGTGCCACTCAGAGCTTTAAATCACAAAAATCTTATCACTGCCACTGCGCCCGTCTCCATGAGACATGAGACAAGGTGACAATACCCATGTGCCTGTAATGTCACCAGCATCCTTACCTTTCAAAACTGGAAAGCAGTAATGCTCACATTATCGGTTGGCGGCAGAAATAGCCGAGGTATCAGTACTTCCTTGGACGAACTCTTTCACAAGGAGCTCTACTGTTACTAAATATAAATGTTATAGAACTAGTAATAAGAGGGAAAACTGTCTGTTGCCGTTTAGAAGTAGATTATTCCACATTAAAATATATGATCACTGTATTCTTTTTTGGATCGACATTGTACGGTACAATCGATGAATACAGCGCATTACAACTTAACGACATAATTAGAATCTCTTATCGTATCCGTGACCAAATATGTGTAATAACCCTTTACCTATTGTAAGACTAATAAAAGAAACAAACGTCTAAAGACACAAGGTTGGCTCATCACAATGGCCGTAAAACTTGCCAGCACATAACGCAGCGATTCTGCACAGTAATTTGCAATAACCTGTTATGAATGTGAGTACGGCATGTTAATGTGATAATTACCTTTATATCCATAGGCTTCAGGGTTTCGTTAACCCAGTTTCTAAAGGTGTTGGCCTGGATTTCCACCCAAAGGTCTTCATGGCCTTTAATGGCCATTCCTTTAGCTGCTGTGCCTTCAGGGCTGCGTGCGGCCAGGCCAGCCTGCGTGATCCTTCCGCCTGAACCTTCCGCGGAGTGCATTCGCACTCCTTGGTGCGATACTTTTACACCGTCCATTTTTGTCTCTAATTTTAAATAGCACCCTTATTCAGTCTTTGAATTATCTTGCTTTTGACACAGCATATCGTTGTCATCTGAAAAAAAAAACTTAGATGAAACAGTTTACGAGGTGAAACAATCAAAACAGCAGATTTCAAATTACATACCAAAAATGATAGTAAAGATAAAAAGCTTTGAATACTTGTGCTTACAATATAAATTGATCGACACATATGCAAATGACTATACATAAACCACTATTCTATTGTTGTCATAATGGCTTATTGGCTGGCATCAAATTGAGCTGCTCATTACGGACAGAACAATAACCGTTCCGTGATAGTTACGCAATGCCGGTGTTGCATGTAAAAATAATACGTATATGACCTGTTAAAGCAGGTGTCATGAAGGGTTCTCGTACTGAACACTAAAGCCATACAGCTGAAGGAGATTAGCGTGACCTCTGCGGTAACACTCGACTCGTGATTCCCATGGTACGAATGAAAGACTATCTATATTTAGCCTGACGACGACGTATTGTTACTGTGGCTTTGATTGATGACGAGGTTTCTAGTGGGAACTCTACATAATGTATCTAAAAAAGCGAACGAAAAAAGAAAAACGAGTGGGTTATTAGTATTCATTGGATTTTTTCTGTATTAACCGAATGCAGTAAGCCGCCAGCGAGGCGTTGCGATGAAAAACTGCATATAGTTATAAGTTTTTTTTATGATAATAAGTGGCGGAACGAACAAGTCGTTCGCCTGGTCGTAAGCGTCACGCCTACCCATAACAGTTGCAGTGTCATTCAGAGCTTAAAATCGCAAAGATCTTATGGGCACTGCGACTGCACCCGTCACTCTGACAGATAAGTGGACAAGTCCCATGTACCTGTAATTTCACCAGCACCCTTAAATAGGAACGCAGTAATGCTCACATTACTGCTTGGCGGCAGAAATAGGTAAAGTAGCAGTACTTCCCTGGGCAAACTCTTTCACAAGGAGCTCTAATGCTTGCAAGTTGCTTGGATGATATTCTAGTAAAACATTCAATTAGCGCTTTGAGACGAAGTTTATGTCTCTCGTATATGTCATTAATAGTGTAGTTTATGTCCCAGTCAATGTGTATGTTATTTTATTAGTTCTATCCGCCCTAATTGCCTTTTGTCTGAACATTTGTACTGTTAAAGTCATTTTTCACTTCGATAATTGTAAAACGTAGCACCGTAATCATTTTACTGTGACTAATACAGATAGATTTACAACAAATTACACAGCATAGAAGCCAAGTACCAAGTTTAAGACATTCAATCTTATATCAAAAACAATGAAGTTCTCTTTGGATTATATATTAAATATGCAATAAAATTAAAAGTGCGAAATAAAATCATTGAACTACGGTTGAATCATATTAAATATTCAGATACTTACGTACCAGGTAAATAATATACACTGACTTTGACGTACGTTGTGTGTAAACGTAATGTACTATTATGTAAACTAAATAAATCTAAAAAATATGTCATGCTAAATAGAAATCAAAATACCTTTAAGGTCATGTATTAAAACTTGTGCTATATGCAGACGAATATAATATATAAAGTTTTCATTTATAAACTACCGTCGTATTTTCTTAAAAGAATCCTCATTATTTAAATAAACTAGCTCGGTGGCCGAACGGTCACCATCCTGGTTGGCCGGGAGAAATATTTGTATGGCCTTCATTTATTTTTCTCGTGAGTTTCTGTGTAATTTGTGGTTGTCTACATATGTGTCTATGGCACCCGCGATACAGGGTTTTTGTAGTGCACCTATGAGTGTTGTGAGTTATTGTCGTTATTGTATTTCACACTAAGGATTGTATGTATACATGACACTGCTGTTGAACAGTAAACCTTAAGCGCCCAATTACACGACGCGAAAGCTTTCGCGCGTCCGCCGCGCGGTGACCTTCCAGTTACCACGCTTTCACGTACATTACTGGCGAATCTGAGTTATATTTACTCGGCAACAATATTTAAATTCCTCGGAGCCAATCAACCGCGCGGTCGCCGCGCGGAAGCCGCTTAAACCAAAGACAAGCGAGTTTCGCCCGCGAATCATTTAAGTTAAAACGTAAAAGCTAAATAAATAGAGCGTATTTTGCCACAGTTATATGCACGCGGTCGCTGCGCGGCGGCCACGCGGACTTCGCAGCGTGAGCGCTATGAAATTCGTGTCGAATAAACTCGCCCTAAGAGCTTTAATAAATTCATTTGGACAATATTTAAGAACTTCGGTACTCAGTACAGTAGATTACGTAGACCATGGCCACGGAATAATGATTTAATGCTACATGGCACTGCAAGCCTCGGCACACACTAATTAGGCTCACAACAAGTATGCTGTAAGCCGTCTTTCTTGCTTATGTATCTTAACTTAACCGGAAATCACTGTAGCGTAATTGCCGCAGAGGTAACGCGATTTTATCTAATGTTAACGGTTCACATCTAGATTTTTAACCGATTTCAAAAAAGGAGGAGATTCTCAATTCGATTGTATTTTTTTGTATGTATGTTACGCGACAACTCCTGCATTATTGAACCGATTCTGATAATTATTTCGTTGGAAAGAGGCTACCCCAGTAATGGTCTCATTTAAATTTGAAGAAAATATTCCACCTCTCCTTAGAGTAAACTAGGGGATGAATCCTGTTTCGCGCACGATACCAATAAAACTCGGCAAATATATAATTCCACGAACTTTTCAGGTCGGTTTTTTTTATAAAAAAAGTTAGAATGATGTAAATCTATGTTTCTATTAATCAAAATTCGTTTTCGAAAATTGTTTCAAAATGAACAACACTCTCATGAACAATGTTTACAATTTAAGGTACTTTATTTTCTTATTTGATAAATAAGCGGTAATATGAGCGTTACTGCGTTTCGGTTTTGAAGGGTAAGGGTGCTGGTGAAATTGCACGCACATAGGATTTGTCAACTTATGTCTCAAGGTGACTGGTGTGGTGGCAGTGCCCGTCGGATCTTTGCGATTTAAAAATCTAAGTGGCACTGCAACTGTTATGGATAGGCGTGTCGCCTACCACCAGGCGTACAACTTGTTCGTCTCTCACTTGGTATCATAAAAAAATGAAGATTCTGATTTCTTTGCCTGATATCAAGCCATATTTTGTCTTTCTGAACTCGGGTTAGTTTTTCCAAACTTTTAATTTGCTTTTTATCGCAGTTAAAATTGTGTACCTACTCATTTAAAAACAATTTTCCTATTACATCACATGGGATTTCAACCATCGTTTTCCGGTTGCAAGTAGCAAAGTAAAAAACGCCAACAAATAAATGAGATGGAGGTAAAACTCCCTCGTGACTTTTCCAAGAAACCTTAGCAAGGTATTTGTGTACGCAATACAATAACCAAATATATACCTGCAAGTATTGTTATATGTCAGGAGCTTGTTTAAAGCAAATTGATTCTATTCATACGTTTTTGAACAACATTCGTTACACACTGGTTTTTATTAAATGAAATTTAGTTAAGTTTGTGTATTTAAACTTAATTTTATAAAAAGTTTGATTTATTATAGTACTGGTAATTCGTAGATGTAAAAACCGCAAATTGTTTTGAATAAAAGAGAACAATGAGAGCAGTAACTGGAGGTTGCGACGTGTGGGTTGAACTAGGCATGAATTGATTCTATATATATATATTTTTGTACATATTACATTATATAGTACTAGTTCGTGGGTTGACTGTTTGCTACCGCTGGCCACGACAGCTGATGTAGCGTCATATCTATTTTAACATAATCGATCTCGAGGTATTATGTCATTTATTGATAGACACTGGGGTGACGAAAGATAGTGCCTTTGCAAAGGACATGAGGAAAACTATAAACTTGTCATGTCACTTTATTACATAATGTATGACCATGTACGCCGCAGAATATGTAGTTAATATTGCTACAGTAAAGACTTGGTACAAGCACCACATTGTAGCAGTTGTGTTGTGGTGAATAAACAAACAAATTAAGATGAGATGTTTAAAACCACGTAGGGAAACTAACGTTAGACGTTTTAGCGTATGTAAACTTTTTTAGCACAAAATACAAGCATATGCGGTAAAGTTTAACGTAATGGATATTTTTAAGTTTTAGTAGTTTTATGCATTGGAAATGAAACAATTTTTTCGGATCTAAAGCGTTTATTTGTTTTTTCAAACAAACCAACGTTTCGGGCCTTTTACAGGTCCCATGGTCTGACTGACGTGGTAAAGTGTCGTCATCCAGTTATCTCTAATATTAATGCAATAGGGTGGTTTTCACTATTGTTACGAAAGAAATTAATAGAATACCCCATTTTTAAATATTTCAAAGATACATTCCAGTATATGCCTCGTACTTTTTCACAAATTAATTTTATTTAAGCAATGTGATTTTTTATTAAATATAATTTTATTATTAATTTAATTATAAATTATTCATAAAATGAAATTTATGTTTATTACTTTTAAATTTATTCTAATTACCATTAGGTAATTGTGATAAATTAAAAAACATACTAATTAGTACTGCAGTCTAATGTCTGCTTGGGATTTTAATCAGGAAAAATACTGGATCCCAAACTGGTGGTACAGAGAAACCGTCTTCCCTGTCGAAATTAGGATGTTTTTTTTAATTTCAATGGACTCTCGCAGCATTCTCTGTATCGCGGGTGCCATGGACACACACATAGACAACCACGAATTACACCCAAACTTCCGAGATAAATAAATGTAGGCCATACAAATATTTCTCCCGGCCCGGGAATCGAACCTGAGACCTCTGCGTGGCGACTGCCGGCATGGTAACAGTTCGGCCACTGAGGCAGTTTATCCATGACATGCGAACATGTCATGGATAAACTGCAGACTTACTTATGCGGCGGTATTTGACATCATCGACTGTGAACTGGCAATCGGTACTATCTCAATTTTGTTGTTGTTTAAGTTATGCATTATTTTTTATGATACCAAGCAACGGGACGAACATGTCATGCGCCTGATATTTAGCGACACGCCTGTCCATGGTAGTTGCAGTGCCACTCAGAGATCTAAATCGCAAA